CTGAAACCTTGATAGTTTTCTTCCCTCGGGCCCAGCACTATAAATAAAAGCTTGGATTCTTGCAGGAGGCAGCTTTGCCAGATGACATCATGGTCAATAACCCCTCCCACACACACACACACACACACACAGGGTGCCCATGCAGAAGCAGTTTGTTCTGGCACCAACACAAGACGCCGCAGGGAAGGAGAGGTTATATAGAGTTGCTCACATAGTACACACCATTGAGAACAGTAGGAAGTTAGCTGCAGAATAAACCCTCTTCCATTTCCCTTCCCATCATTACCCCCTCCCTAACCCCTCAGCCTATGCACTGAAGTTAGTTATCTAACAGTGCTGGTCCAGACAGAACCCATTTTATATGGGTTGATAGTGGCAGAACACAACTCACATGAGGGTCATTCTTCTCTGTAGCCAGCTTGTGCAGGTCCAGCAGGGCCTGGTTCACTGTCTTCTCCAGCTGCAGGGCACACTGCAGGGCCTCCAGGCTGTTCCCCCACTCATCCTGCTCTGGCTTCTGTGAAGGAGATGAACCAGGAAGAGAACTAGACACTCTGCTCACTGGCAAGCTGCAGTTTTGCATCTGAAGTAGCTTTTCACCTATGCCAATAACAGCACCATTCATCCCAGTTTTTAGGGTTCTATAATTATGAATTGAAGTCATTGCTTGTGACTAGATGGAGTAAATGTCCTGCTCACAACCAAGCAAGCCCTTCTACACTTAGTGCAGAAGCCCACCCATGCTTGCATGGGCTCTTTAACAAAGATAATGCTCTTGAAACATGCAGCTGTTCCTAGTTTAGATAGGAATGACTTCAGTAGGCATAAGATCTCCCAAAAAAGCCTCCTTGCTTTCCCTTGAGGAAGGGCATTCAAACTCCAACAGCACACATGGAGATAGCAATCTAAAGTGCCCTCCCAACAACACCCCCCCCCTTTATTGCACACCTTGATGTCCTGCAGGACAATGCGGCCCCCTCGCTTATTCTGGTAGGTCAGAAACTTCTCCGCATGCTCCCTCTCCTCATGGGACTGCTCCTTCAGGAACTGGGTCATGTGCCTGAGGGCAACATCATCACGGTCAAAGTAGGAGGACTGAGGAGAAATAGAGGAGCACAGTTGAGGTAGTGATACTTCTAGCTAGTGGCAGCATACAGTAAGTCTTCAAGCTTAACAAGAATGCTGACTGCTCATATGAACAAGTTTCACCATCTTCCCACAAGGAGATGACAACAATAGCTGTTAGAGTCAGGCTTATAAGTGTCCCTAGTAACAAGCCAACAGGACCAGAAATAGTCTTACTTTCTCCCTACTCACCAATATCACCCATTGGGAAGGCAGAACACACAACTAGAGGGCTTTTTTTGTAAGAGGCAATAGCAGAAAAGCCCTTATCTGAATTTAAATGAATTGGTTAAAAAACAAACCCCACCCTTCCACCACCACCACCCCCAACAGCACATCTCTTATATTACACTCACCATGGACAAGTAAACATAGCTGGCATACAGCTCCAGGTTTACTATCTTGTTGATAGCAGCCTCACATTCAGCCTGGAAATATTGGCGCACCTGGGACTCCATTCTTCTATTTAGAAGACTTAGCACAAAAGGCACTCAAAGACCTTCCAAAGCTACTAAACAGAGCTCACAGAAAGACCATGAGCCTTCTTCTTCACAGGTAGTAATAAAGCTGTCCAGAGCAGGGTGTGGGCGTGACTGACAGCTGCTGTCATCCAATAGAAATGTCTTTCTTTCATACAGCACCAGTCACCAATATCCACAGATGAGGGATGATTGAGCAGAAGGACAACCCTTGTTGCCCTATTACGTCTTGGGCAATGGGGGAGATTGACAGATTGTAATTAGATGAAAACCAGGAGTATTCGCCAAATTAATCCAGCCTCCCACAAGCCCTTAAGACACAGAGAAGGTGGCAAATGGAAGGGCTCATTGTATATCCTTTCCCATGGGGTCTGTAGGTCAATGTTTCTCTAACATATTAAACCTGGGGAACCTTGGTCATTTTCTTCCAGTATTCAGAAGGCTCTGAGACAACTGATGAAAATTCTATGAAAGAAATGCAAACTCTCTCATTTGAAGACATGTTGGAACTATTCAGTCTGGAGAAGAGATGGAAAAAGAGGGGATGTGAGCAAGACATACAAATTAAAGAATATATGTAGACTTTAAATTGGGTGCTCTCTTTTACCAGTAGAAGAGAATAAGGCTTTTTAAAAAGGATAAAAGGAAAAGCTTCTCAACACAACACATATGTATCCTGTGGAGCTCACCGCAGGAAGATGCAGGATTGAGTGCAAGAGCTTAAAATGATTTTGAATAAAATGTTAAATGAGTCTATGACTGACAATGTGCAGTTTCATTACATCAGGTAAAACATGGCTGCATAGGGGAGATGGCCTCTCATGCTTTAGTGCATGTACCAGCTGCCAAGGTCAAAAGTTATAGAGTTGATTGGCTCATGCCTTTTTATTTCAAGAAATAGAAAACTGCAGAATTAGTCCCCATGTTCCACTCAGAACTCTGAGTAAACATATCCAATAAGACAAGTAGTATATTATGCCATTAGGTGTAATCTAAGCATGGTGTATTGCTGGACACTTCCCTCAGGAAGGGAGAGAGATTGTTGGGGCCCAAATTTTACAGGCGCTCATGCAACCTAATGCAGATCAGTTTTTAATTCCTGTTAGCGGTGCAATAGACTTTGGCCCTCCCAGAAGCAGTCTGGCTAATAGGAAGAAAACTTCTCTTGGTACTGTATTAATTTGGGACCTCAAAGATCTGGGTTTAATTCCCTGCTCTGCTCCAGGCTTCCATGGGTAAGTCACTTAATCTTTCGGGGTCCCCCTGTAAAATGGGGATTATGCATTTTCCTGGGGGTGTTCTGAGGATTCAAACTGAAGGCATAGCTACTGTGAGAGGAGCCAAGTAAGTATCTTAGATGGGGGCGGGATTATATGGCTTTAGTTCTGTTCAGCAATGTTCTGTGGCTTCCTTTCTGTTTCCCTCCCCTTGGAAACCCTAGAAATATTGCAAGAGTTGGGACAGAATGCACAGTTCATGGGGGAAGCTGCAGGCAAAGTCTGCACTAGCTCACTTTATTTGTCCAACTGATTACAATTGTGTATATATAAACTCAACTATATAGTGTCCATCACTGCATGGTTTGGAAAATCTAATGCTTCAGTTGCAGTGTAGATTTTTTTTTGAGCAAATGCATTTAAGTTCTTTCTCTTGCTCATTGAAGACATCATTTAATCTCTCTATACCTCATCTAATACTCAGTACAATTTCTATTTTATCTCCCTGAGAATGGAGGTTAGAGGAACAATGAGTTTGTAAAGTGCTTTGGGAGCTAAAGAGAATATATGCTAGTGAGGTGAAAAGCAGTAAATAATAATTACATGGCAGAACTCAGTTTTTCCATATTCGGCTTGCCACTAAGATGATTCTTTTATCTCAGCTCCATTGGCTAGAATATAATCAGTGAATACAAAGATTAGTCAAGTCTACTGCATCACCTAGAATAGATGCCTTTTTATAAATGCCACCTTTAGGTATCCTAGATTTTTGCTATCTACCTATGATACCTATGGGGAAGAACTGGTGATGTTTTCTATCCCATGTCCCTGTTAAAGCAACAGTGATTTACTTAAACCTGGCAGGGTCCAGTGGTTCCCAAACTTTTTGGCATCACAGACCCTTTTGATTTTTGAGAAACCCTCACGCCCCCACCCCACCTCAGGTTTCCAAACTTCTCAGCTTCATGCCCCCTTTTTGATTTTTGAGAAACCCTCACGCCCCGCCCCCGAATAGCAGCAAAACTTGTTGAGAGGAAAAAAAAATAAAGGAACTGACCGGGGCCAAAAACCAAAAATAGCAGCAAAACTTGGGGGCACTGGGTTGACTCGCACCCCCCCCCTGGAATTTCTTCATGCCCCCCAGAGGGGCATGCCCCTCAGTTTGGGAACCCATCCTCCATCCTTTGGAATATGATGACTATTGGAACATGAGCACGACATATTGTTATTGACTGAAACATGAGCCAGACTTTTCTATTGTCATCTTGTGTTTGCTTCTACATAGTAAACCAGGAAACATGAAGACCCAGGAATATGTACCACCGAACATAGATTTCTCATATTCAGATGTAATTTTGGGAGTGGGGGATTAGACACAGCAGTTCCTTGAACAGTAATGATGCAGCAAAGTTGGTCAAATGGATTTATTCACCCCTTTTTCTGGTTTCAGGTCAGCTCTGTTTGTGTCCCTGAGGGTCTTATACACTACAGCATGCATCCAGGTTCACATTTCAGCCAGTGCTTCAGACTGTTAGGTATAGGCCTATTTCTGTTTTTGAACTGAATTTCAAGTTCATCCCTAAACCAGTTTCAACCCCTAAAACAAGCCCTAATTAATGCAATCATGCTAGAACCCAATTTGCATGACACACAACTCAGGTTTGCTGAATGTTCCACCAGTCTGCAAGCTCTTTGCTAAGTCTAAGGGCTGTGAAGAAACTGAAAACCTCACTGTTTTAGCTGGTTGGGAATCTTATTCCAATATTTAATTCTGCTCTCGGTAAATCAGACAGCTGAATTGGCTTGCACCAAGGACTAAAGAAAGTCCAGAGGATCAGCTACAAAGTTCAAAATCACATTTCCTTTGCCAGTTTCATCACAGATACTGGGGAAATCTCTTTATCTTAACATGATAGAATTTCAAGCACATGAAAGAGTAATTTAGAGGCTTCAGACTGTCAAGTGTGTAAAATCCTTCATTTTCCTCTCCCCTTCCGCCTCCCCTCCCCCCAATCTATCCCTTATGTTGGTAAAACTGTAATCTCTAAATTGTATTGTTTTGTGTTTAGAAAACTTTCACCGTTTTTCCCCCAGTTTGGGGACACCTGTTGAATTTCCTTCAAATACAGAGTCAGGCAAGATTTACTAGGAAGCATTACATTGTGGAAACATGGTTAGCATTAAGACTAATTAGATTTTAATACTTCAGCCTTTGATGGACAGGGTCAGTCCTTTGATCTTGTTAGCTTTTAAAAAGATTATGGGAATGAAATTTCCCGCTCCTACCCCTTCCCCCACAGTATGTGTTGCAGCCCTGCACTACATATCACCCCTCGCGCTTCTTTAAACACAATGTAATGATACATTTATGTAGATAAAGTTTGGAGACATTGTGCTATTTTCTAAAGTACAAAATCACCCATCACTTTTAATTTTAGGGGTGTAATTGTGCTGACTTTGAATATCAAAAGAGCAGCTGTGGTTGCTAGATGGTGCCCCGCCTCCCAATACAATTAGAATAAATACATAATTGTCCAATTTTTGGTGTTCTCAGAATTGTCCAATTAAACAAGCACTCTCACTTCTAACTGGGCTGTGTTCTCAGGCTTTAACCCTCAGCTGCAGAGGAGAGTGGGTAAAGAAATAACAAGTGTTCTCCACATAAGCTTTTTTCCATAACTTTCTGCTCTTGTTTAGCCCAGAGACAACAGGAATCTAGAATGGCATGATTCCATTCTACATCTAGAATGGCATGATTTTCCGCAAATGCTTTTAACAGAAAAGTTTTCCGTTAAAAGCATTTGCGGAAAAGAGCGTCTAGATTGGCACGGACTCTTTTCCGCAAAAGCCTCTTTCTAATGTATTAGTTCTAATGTATTAGAAAGAGGTGAATTAGCCTCTTTCTAATGTATTAGTTCTGCAGCTGCTTTTGTGGAAAAACTTGCCAGTCTAGACACAGCCCAGGTAAAAAGCCCCTCTCTCACCAGGGCAACACTTTTGCTTCCAGCCCAAGGCAAAAGCAGAGAGGCAGGAAAATAAACAATAATGTTGCTGTGAACATGCCATGAAATGGCTCTGGGGCGCTGACAGATTTGCTGAGCCCCTGGGTAAAGGGTTGGGGGCTCGAGCTCCGTGTTCCCAGAAGACCCAGGGCCTTAGGCAGAAAGGGCAGGGCAGTTAGCCCTCAGCACTGCCCATAGCACACCCAGCCTGCCTTCACAGCTGCCCAGAGTGTGCCAGATGGTGCTAAGGAGGCTATTTAAAAGGACTGGGACTCCTGCTACCATGGTACTTATGGTAGAGGTGGCTGTGAGTCTCAGGTCCTTTTGAATCGCTGTGCCGAGGGCTCTGGAATAAATTGCTGAGCAAGGTTGTGGAATTTCCATCTTAAAACTCTCCAATGAGCAGGTTAGACAAACATCTGTTATGGATGATCTAGATGGCACTTGGTCCTGCCATGAGGGCAGGGGACTGGACTAGACTTCTCAAGGTCCCTTCCAGTCCCATGATTTTAAAGACCTTAGACTCTCGTAGCCAGGATTTGGTCTGTCCTCTGCAGTTTCAGCAGAATAAGTTCTCATGACAGCTCCTAACCATTAAAGAATTGCCCTGTGTCATCAGGGCAGAAGCCGATGGCTGAAGTATTCTGTATCTATAGCTGATAAGTATGTTTGAGTGTCTGTAGTATTCCTGTGAGGGACCCTTGCAGGTGAAAGATACTAAGCAGAACTAATACATTAGAAAGAGGCTAATTCACCTGCCCCATAATAAACTCATTGCGGGCAGCGAGCTATCTGGACTCATGGTGCCCTGGCACTAAGAACATTCCTGGCCTGAGGCTCGGCTCCACCAAAACTCACCTGCTGCTGGTGCCAACCTTCGCTCTTTGCCTCCTGCATGCCCCAGCCCACCGATGATTTAAAATGCCCCTGAGGCAAGGGTGCCATTTCGGGAGGGAAAGGGCGGGCAGCAGCCATGTGTATTGGGATGCTGCTTGTAGGGTTGCCAGGTGTCCGGTTTTGAACTGGACAGTCTGGTATTTGAGGGTTCTGTTCGGGAAACAAATTGACAAAATACCGAAGTGTAAAGAGGCCGGTATTTTCTAATGAGGTAAGTTTTACTAGTATTAGGAGTATCAGTATGTAGTTGCGTACTGCCTGGCTGGT